ACCCTGCTTGTTCAGTCATTTGGCCGTCCCTCACTAACACCCCTGCCAGCCTGGTCATAGGCAGCCATCTTGTGAGGTGTGATGGTTACTTTGCATATTACCTCTTTATTATATAGGATTGCTATTTGCCCTTTCTCTAGAATAGAAGTGTCAGAGATTAAAGAAATTTAGTAAAATGTATATGAAAATCTTCCTCCTGTCAGAGTCTGGGGCACACCACGGGAACCAGAGTCAAGTCCCCACCCAGCCACGTGCTCCTTGAAATTGCGCGAGACCCAGACCTGGCCAGCCCCACCCCCATTGGGCTAGTTCCAGACCTAGCCGGCCCCACCCCCGTCAAGCCCTGCCAGGCAGGGGCCACGCCTGAGGTCCCCCATCAAGCTCCACTGGGCGGGGGACGTGGCCTGAGGTCCCCCAGCCTGGCGCCGGGGCAGGGGGCACAGCCTGAGGTCCCCTGTCAAGCCCCACCAGGTGGGGGGTGCAGCCTCAGGTCCCTGCTGATTGCTCATTAAGGCTCGTTACGGGATCCCCACCTCTGCTGTGGGCGCAGCCATCTTGTTATGGCATAACGGTCAATTTGCATATTCCCTCTTTATTAGGTAGGATAGCACGTTTCTGCATACATTGTGTGCATGTTATTGTGTGTGATTGCTTTTTAAGTCGGGTAAGAGAAGGACTGCTGTTCACCTAGGACACAGGTGCACTCACGGGGGCTTTCTTTTCCCTTGATTTGGATTGCCATCCGGGATCGCTTCCTTTCCGCCTGAAGAGTTCAGTGTTTCCTGTACGGTGGGTGTGCTGGCGGCAAGTCCTCTCGGTGCTTGTTTATCCGACAGCGTCTATTTTGCCTTCATTTTTGAGGAATAGCTTTGCTGGATTGTGGGATCTTGGCTGGCAGTGTTTTTTCTCTGGGAACTTTGAGTGCGTTTGAATGTACCCGCTGTGCTGTGGCCTCCAGGTCTCTGCTGGTGAGTCAGCAGCTGGTGCCCTCATAAGCCCGGTCATTTTCCTCTGGCTGCGTCAGGATGTCCTTGTCTTTGGCTCGGTTCTCTCACAGTGATGTCTCTGGCTCTTTACATCTGTCCTACTCAGAACTCAGTTCTTGGGGACGCCTGATGTGCAGGTGGCGATCTTCAGTCATTTGGGGAGTTTCCTGCCATCCTTCCTTTGACTCGCCTCCTGCTCCTCTGTCCTGGTGGGACTCCCGTGACACGTATGTTGTGTGCCCAGCGTTTCTCTAAGATCCTCATTCGTTTTTCTCTCAGGGCTGCACGTCTATCAGTCTGTCGTCACGTTTGCTGATTCTTATTCTGCCAGTTCATCCCACTGTGGAGCCCTCTGGTGAATGTTTCATTTTAGTCATACTTTTCAACTACAGGACTTCCATGTGGTTCATTTTTATAATTTCTCTCTTTTTATTGATGTTTTATATTTGATGCAACATTATCATCAGATCTTCCTTTACTTTTTAACTCACGGTCTCTCATCTCTTTTTCACGTGTTTATAACGGCTACTTTAAAGTCTTTTCTGGTAAATGCAAGATCTGGGCCCTCTCACAGGCAGTGCTGTCTGCTTTTATTCCAGGGCCTGGATCTGCTTTCTTGTTTCCTTGCTTGCCATACCTTTTTGTTGAAACTGGATATTTTAGATGCCATATTGTTGCTATTCTGGGTGCTGACCTCCCAGCTTGCTAGTGTTGGTGTGCTGTTAGTTGAGTGATGTGGTGGGTTGGGCTGTTAGTTGAGTGACGTGGTGGGTTGTGCTGCTAGAGTCTGTTCCCCTCCCCCAGAGCAGCACTGGGTCACCCACAGTCACCCCAGATGACTGCTTCTAGGACTGCCTTCCTCTCTGACCACACCCAGCTGGTAAACCGGCTGATTGCTCAGTTGTTTTCAGCTGTGACCTGGGGCATAAATTGCTCCACAAACTAATCCAGTCACATTCTGGCTTCTCTGAGGGAATAGCTTCTAAGTAAGTGCCTGATTTTGTTCGGGTCCCAGGGGCCCCCCTGCGAGGAGCTGCTCCAGGACCCCAGCTGCCAGTGCCCTGGGAGCCCTGAGGCTGGGCTGCCCACTGTGCGGCACTGAAATCAGCTCCTCTGGGAAGAGATGAAGAGCTCTGCTTGGATGCTGCCTGTCCCCCAGGCCACGTCTGAGCCAGGGCTCCATTTAGCCAGGACAGGGACAGGCCTCAGTGTGAGGCCCCTGCTCCAGGAGCTGAGGGCTCGGGGAGGGGCGTGGCTCCAGCCAGGTGAGCTGGGCTCAGGGAGGGGCGTGGCAGCAGCCAGGTGAGCTGGGGCTCAGGGAGGGGCGTGGCAGCAGCCAGGTGAGCTGGGGCTCAGGGAGGGGCGTGGCAGCAGCCAGGTGAGCTGGGGCTCAGGGAGGGGCGTGGCAGCAGCCAGGTGAGCTGGGGCTCAGGGAGGGGCGTGGCAGCAGCCAGGTGAGCTGGGCTCAGGGAGGGGCGTGGCTCCAGCCAGGTGAGCTGGGCTCAGGGAGGGGCGTGGCTCCAGCCAGGTGAGCTGGGCTCAGGGAGGGGCGTGGCTCCAGCCAGGTGAGCTGGGCTCAGGGAGGGGCGTGGCTCCAGCCGTGAGCCCTCAGGAGCCTGGGCGGGATGGATGAGATGCTACTATAAGTTTCTAAACGACCTTCTTCCTTTTTGATCTCCTTCCCTCTGTGTGGCCTTTCCTCTGCCCCTGTGGTTCCCAGCCCCAGGGCGAGTGGTGAGGACAGCTTCAGGCCTGTAACCCAGTGACCCTGGTTGCTCCTCTCTGTTACTCGCTCCCATCAGTTCCTGAGCGTCTGGGCCAGGAAAGGGGATTCACAGGAAAAGCTGCTGCACCTCCGGGGAAGCCATCCACCCGGTGAGCAGTGCTGTCCACGGCGAGCTGCTCACGGGGCCGGTGTGCGCGGTGGTGTGACGTCAGGGCGGCTGAGGGCAGCGCGCACAGGACTCCCTGTACCAGGGCCTAAACCCGCTCCTAAGTACCATTCTTTCACGTTTTCATTTTAACTTCTTCTTGTTATTAGAAGGCGTCTTTAGCTTCCAGAGTAAAATGGAGGCAGACCAGTTTCTTACTGTTGAGGGGCTCAGGGTCCGGGGTTGGGGAGCTTGTTCATGTGGCCTTTCACCCAGAACCTGCACCACATGGAAGCTGGAGAAGCTTCTGAGGAAGGCTGTGTGCTGCTGCTTCAGAACAGTGACCTTATGAGCGGAGGTTCCTAGAGACGTGTGACAGGGCAAGTCACCCCAAGTTCCCAAGACAGTGGGGAGAGGAGGTCTTGCATCTTAAACCCAGAATTGTTTGGATTCCCACACTCAGGCCACCAGTGTCCTTCCACACGACGGAAAGTGGGGGACCATGTCCAGTGTCCTTCCACACGATGGAAAGTGGGGGACCGTGTCCAGTGTCCTTCCACATGACGGAAAGTGGGGGACCGTGTCCAGTGTCCTTCCACACGACAGAAAGTGGGGGACCCTGTCCAGTGTCCTTCCACATGACGGAAAGTGGGGGACCGTGTCCAGTGTCCTTCTACAACCATGGAAAGTGGGGGACCATGTCCAGTGTCCTTCCACAACCATGGAAAGTGGGGGACTGTCCAGTGTCCTTCCATAACCATGGAAAGTGGGGGACTGTCCAGTGTCCTTCCACATGATGGAAAGTGGGGGGACTGTGTCCAGTGTCCTTCCACAACCATGGAAAGTGGGGGACCCTGTCCAGTGTCCTTCCACACGATGGAAAGTGGGGGGACTGTGTCCAGTGTCCTTCCACAACCATGGAAAGTAGGGGACCCTGTCCAGTGTCCTTCCACACGATGGAAAGTGGGGGACCGTGTCCAGTGTCCTCCCTAGTTAGGAAGCCCCTCCGCGCCCACATTTCAGGGCACGGCCTCTGACAGCCTTGTCTCCGTCCAGCTCACAGGGGCAGTGCGGTCTTCAGAGCGTCTGAGAGCCCGGAGTTGCTCAGCCAAGTTGACCTCTGCCCAGGAAGGCAGGACCGCCACGTCCGGCAGGACAGCATGTCAGGTGAGCCTCCGCCAGGGAGACACGGGGGCCAGGGCTCGGGTGTCCACGTCTACACAGCGTGCGTTCTGCCGTGTGCTGATTGGGGACCGGAGCAGGAGGTTGGGTCCAGGAGTATCTGGCCGTCAGCGGGCCTGGCTCAGATCCTGTCGCCTTTGATGCGGCCTTTTTTTTTTTTTTTTTTTAATCCTCACCAAGGAGCGAGGATTTTTTCCCATTGATTTCAGAGAGTGGAGGGGAGGGGAGAGAAACAGAAACACTGATGTGAGACACATTGGCCTGTTGCCTCCTGCATGCACCCCAGTGGGGAGGGAGGGGGGGTCGGACCTGCAATCCGGGTACTTGCTTCTTGACCAGGAATCGAACTGGCGACTCCGGTGCGCAGGCCGAGCCTCTAACCACTGAGCACGCCGGCCAGGGCTCAATGCAGCCTTTTGAGTGATGGTGGCATAGCGCCCTCCTGTCCACCCCTAAGGTTTCGAGAGAAAGGCAGCGTGGGCTGGAGAGAGGACTCAGCGTGTCCGCGTTCTGTGCAGTGCGGCGGCACCGGCTGGGACTCGGTGCCCCGTGCGGCTCATGGAAGCCAGGCTGGAGCCACGTATGAGCTGCAGAGCACCTCCCTGCCCCTGCCCTCAGCTGCCCACACTCCAGCAGAAACGAACGGAAACTGGATTCTCTGGCTGCAAGTCTGTAGTCCGTCAGGACGGGCTTCTGAACTTGCCTCGGCAGTGGGCAGCCTGGAGCACGCGGCGTGCGGGAGCGGGTTGGGGTCTGGGTTCTTCCCGCTGTCCCTTGGGTGGCAGCAGTGACCTGGCCCCGGCCCAGCCGTGGAAGCGGGGCTTCAGCTCGTCCCGGTTGAGGTGTGAGGAAGGGGGCCTCGGGGGTGGGACTGTTCTGTTTGCCGTCCGCTTCATAATCCTAGACGGGCCTGCTTTCCCGGCATTTTTCTTCCTCAACAGACTTCCTCACACAAAGCCACGGACAGGCGAACTTCCAAGAAGTTCAAGTGTGACCGAGGTCAGCTTGTGAAGTCAGAATCACAGAAACTGGCCCCTAAGAGCGAGAGTGCGGCCCCACCCCGAGCACCGCCAGGGAGCCCTGGTGGACATGAGCCCCTGGCGCTGGAGGGAGACGGCCCGTACCCCCCAGGAGAGGCAGCCGGCATCTCCGCACAGGGGACCGCAGGCCTTCCCTTCGGTCACGGCCGAGTGGTGAGTGACGCGTGCTCGGCCAGGACTGTGGACGGCCTGCCCCGCGCCCTCCCCAGCGGGGAGTCGGACAGCAGCTCCACCGCGGGGGGCGGCTCCGTGCTGCAGATGGACGGCAGCGCCTTCCTGGATGACGACAGCAACCAGCCCATGCCCGTGAGCCGGTTCTTCGGGAACGTGGAGCTCATGCAGGTGAGTGGGGCGCTGTCTCCCCTCCGGGGGGCTCCGGGGGCTGCGTGTGGGGACTGCCTCAGCGCAATAGCAGGTGCACCGTCATCTTTCAGCCCAGATGATGGCAGCGCCTCACTGGGCACACCACCCTGGCCCCTCCACGGGGAGCATGGCTGCTGGGCCACGTCCCCGCAGGGCCTGCGCCGGGTGTGGGTTGGGCCATGTGCCCTGGGCTCATTTCCCGCCTTTCCTCCCTGTGGGCCGAGTGGTCCCACTGTCTGCAGGGGGGGCTGCGCTGTGGCCCACGCAGGCGCTGAGGCAGAGGGTGGGGTGACTGACGAGGGCGTGTTCTCTCCCCCCCAGGACCTCCCACCGGCGTCTTCGTCTTGTCCTTCAGTGAGCAGACGGGAGTTCCGGAAGATGCATTTCAGAGCCAAAGATGACGACGACGAGGAGGACGCAGAAATGTAGGAATAAAGTACACACAGTGACTGCCTTGCGTATTGAGTGCGGTAACAGTGGACAGGTTAAGGTTACGGGACTTAGGAAGTTCATCCTCTGGAGGATGTGTCCTTAAGCAGACTTCCTGGGGGCTCCGCTGGGAGCCGGGCGTCCTGGCGGGAGGAAGCTGCTGCTGCTTGCACGAGGCGCCTGGTCTCCGTCTGTACAGACGTGAGGATGGTTTGAGGCGGCCTCGGGCCGGGGTGAAGGAGAGAGGTTTGCAAAGGAAACGCTCCGTAAGTGTTAGCTGTGATTGCCAGCCTCTCCCCCTCACGGGCTGACCCTCCTCGGGCTGATTCGGGCGGTTTCGAGAACCCCGGTCTCTGTGTGAGGCTGAGGTTGACCATGGACTTTTTGCAGGAGTTATATGCGAAAAATAAAATATATTTTGAAAATATTTTAAAGAAGTCTGTGTCCCTGAAGCTGTGCTCCTTTCTAAAGTGTTTGGGACAAAGCAGGTCCTGCCCTGCCTGACCCCGGAGTCCAGGTCAGCCTCTTCACCCAGCCAACCCCTAACCAGCCGCTGTGGCCTGAGGGCTCCTCCTGGGAGGGGGGGGGGGGGCACCTTCCTCACCTGTGGTGGGCGCTGCTGCCATCCTGTGGTTTATAAGATCTTCATCCTGGGCTCCTGCTCTCAGCTCTGCAACCCCTGGAGTTTCCTCACTGGTTGATGTCGTCATGGTAACCAGGTGGCTTTGGGCCGTAAGGGTGGGGTCTCTGGGGAGAGAAGAGCCTGGAGGTTGAATCTGTCACCAATGGCCAAGGACAGAACGTGCCCGGTCGGGACTGTGATGAAGCCACACTGAAATCGGAGGACCGCACAGCTCGCTGGTCTCTCGGAGACCTTCCTGCTGGTGGATGAACACACGGAGAGCCTGGTGAGCCTGGGCCGGAAGCTCCGCCGGGTCCCGCCTACCTGGCCCTGTGCACCTCTTCCTGAGCTGTTGGCGTCTAACCTTTTACCTAAACCAGGAGCGTGTTTCTCTGCGCTCTCCGAGCTGGCCTCCGTGGTGGAGCTGTTACCAGGCACAGCTGCCCCCCAGACGACACCTCCTAGGCGCCTGGCCACAAGGAGCGTCTTGTGACGCATTCTTGCCAGTGGAAGGAAAGGCTCTAAGACTGGTCTGCAAAGTGACACACAGTCACACACGGAGGCCCCTGCGGTAGGGACGCAGCCCTGTGTCCACAGCCGGGCGGGCGGCAGGGTCACCCATGCTGTGTCGCAGGAGAGCATCCGAACACCTCTTCTAAGACCGCCCGCCGCCAAGAAGGCTGCCCACACCGACACGCAGGAAACCCCCACTTCTGTGGCTGGAAATGGAACCGCCACCCCCAAAACCCGCCCTCACAGAGTGCAAGGACCTTGGCAGCCCCTGGCCTTCCCTCCACGCACAGGCCGGAGGGGACACAGGGCCCTGCCGCACCGCCTGACAGACAGGTGAGCTCCGCGAGATGAGATTGCTCGTCCCCCGCAGGCCTGGCTCAGTCCGCGGCGCTCCCATATTCCAGTAGGAGAACGGGACGATTTGGGTCAGGTTTTTAAAAATCACTGACCCCTTTTTTATCCTCATTTCCATCATTGTCAGTGAGTGCAAACGTTTCCGACACGTCTATTTGTGAAAAACTTTTACTGCTTTTCCTGGTTCTACAACAAATGTGAAAATTCAATGTTACAAAAGGTAAAAAACTAAATTTTAAAAATTCTGAAATAAATGCTCATTTTAAAAACTTCAAGTACAAGCATTCCTCGGTACCCGCGGGAGGCTGGTTCCAGAACCCCCACCCCAACACCAAAAACCTGAGGATGCTCAGGCCCTGATGTAGAACGAGGAAAAGCAGTGTGTGCAGTCGGCCCTCCACATCCGAGGATTCCAACTGCGACACGAAGCCGGTGGACACGAGGGCCGACTCTTATAAAACACGGTTTAGAACATTAGTCCTTTAACCGTCGCACCCACCGTCCCCAGGATCACTGCTGTGCACAGACGAGCTGCCTCACACTAGCACGTGTGTGACACACTCGTGGCCTTAGCGTTAGGCCACTTGCCGGTGCATTTAACAGGCAGCTCCCATGTCCAGTCACAAAAACCTGCGCTGCTGCACAGCGTGGCCTCGTGACGCGTGTTAGGTTGAACCGTGAAATCAACAACACCTGACCGCTTGGCCTAGAAGCCAGCGATCTCATGGCTGAGCGCGGGGCCACGATCGCCACGCCCCTCTGACAGGTGTGGGAGGCCCGCTTCCGGCCGCAATGGCACAGCAGCGAGCACACTTGTGCTCCTTGTGGGGTGTGAGCAGTTCACCCCGAAAGGGTCACGATCCCAGCATTTGGAAGAGTCCAGAGGATGGAGCTTCGGTCTGGGGAGTGGAGACCCGGCAGAGCTGTCCCTCGGGCAAGGGTGGCGGCTTTGGCCATGACGCCGTTCCCCTGGCAACTGTGTCACACAAGCAAGCAGAGTGGGTCAAGTCAGAGGACTCCGGTCCCTGACCCGCCGACCGGGCCCCAGGCCCCGGTGTCCGCAGCTCTCAGGCGCAGGAAACATGCCGAAACGCGCTGAGGCCAGAAATCTAGAGAGATTCTGTAAACGTGTTTTTCAGAAGCTATTGCAGTGGCAGAAAAATAGCACCCGTTAAAATCCCGCACGGCACCAGGACGCGGCCCGAGTCACGGGCGCTTGCGCGCAGCCCGCCTCCTGGGCTTGGCCTGGGGCCTGTAGATCCTGCGCGGGTCGCAGCTGAGCCCGTGGGTGGTCTTCTTGTGGCAGGCGATGTGCACCAGCTTGAGGTTCTGGCAGGTGAAGAGCAGGCTGTAGAAGTACTCCCAGTCCACCTGCCTCCCGGCCGCGCCGGCCGCCGCCGCCAGCGCGGGGATCACCGTGCGCTTCTTCTCTATTCTGCAAGGGGGGGAGGACGGTCAGGCCTGCTGGCCCCCCCGAGGCACGACCTGTTCTAACACAGGCTCCGACACCGCGGACTCAGGCAGCTCACACGGAACCGCGCTTGGCCGCTTACAGGAGAAGGTAACTGGGAAATGACGATTTCAGAGGGAACCACACTGGGCCGCCTCCCAGGAGCAGCACGGGGGGGTGGGGGGGGTTGGGGGGGGTGGGGGGGGTTGGGGGGGTGGGGGGGGTAAGGGAGGCTCGGCGCTGTCGCAGGTCGAGCACTCGGGGACGTCCCTTCACTGACTGGACCCTGAGCCGCACTGAGCGTGGCCACAGCTGCGGGTCAGCTGCCTGGCAAGGCCTGATGACGGCAACTTTGCCTGTGTCCCTGGTGGTGCCTATCTGTTTAGACACTGGGAAGCCCCCGACCCGTGGACTCACATGTGGTCCAGGTTCCAGGTGCTGAAGAGGACCCGGCTCTCCCGGCTGCCGTAGGGGTTGATAGAGTGTCTGGACGCACAGTCGGCCATGTCGAAAGGACCCTGCGCCGAGAGAGAGCAAGGTGAGCGCCGCGCTGGGGTCAGGAGGCGCCACCTCAGTCCCCGCCCAGCTCTGCAAAGCCCAAAGCCCAGCTCTGTCATCGGCACTTGAGGCCGGACCACACCTGACACCCCACAGAGGTGAAGGCCAGGATGGTGGTGGGACGGAGTCCCCGCTGTCCTCCGAGGGGTGGCACCAGGGGAAGCAGTGCCTGGGGATCCCTCGGGTGATGGGGAGGCTCCTGCGGGGCCTGCCTGCGCAGCTCAGAGTGCCGGCTCCGGCCGATGCCCCCGGCCCGGGACTCAGGCTTACCCAATGCCCGAGACGTCACAGTGGCACAGACCCTGACATCCCTGCGCTGTCACCGAGGAAGCTACCCAGGGGGACACAACACTTGCTTCCCAGAGGCGCCTAATGTCCCTTCTCGTTCCAGCCCCCCCCCCCCACAAAGGAACGGTGTGCTCCCAGATGCTGGCGAGAGCTGTGACTCCCCCCGCATCAGCAGGGGGCCCCGACCATCCCAGGGCGCCACCGGAACTTGTCAGATATGCAGGTTTTCAGGCCTGTGCAACTGGAGCAGGCGCCCTGGGTGGGCCCAGCAGCCTTTCAGCAGCTCGGGGTCCAAGGCCTGCTGGCCGGAGGCCCAGGGCCCACCTCCGTGGGAGGGCAGCTCAGCACTGGCCTGGTGGCCCCATGGAAAGGGCACCCACTCACCTGGCAGGAGAACCAGCCTTCGGGCGTGCAGAGCCGGCCGCCGCCCTTGGCGCCCCTGTCGAAGTAGCTGCCGTTGTACTGCGCGGCCCTGAGCTTCTGGGCCATGGCGGCCACGGCCCGCGCATACTCCTCCCGAGCCTGTGCACCCACCACAGACGCGTGCGAGCTCACCTGGAGGCGGCAAGGACATGGCGGGGGCTGGTGCGCGATGCCGAAACCCGCAGCGGGCGCCCATCCCAGCCCACGGCCCTCGGGGTTCAGACGGGCCCTCGCTGTCCAACCCGGGAAGTCTCCGCAGACGGGGCTACGTCACAGGCGGCGGACACAAACTCGGGCTCCGGACCCCCTGCCCACCCCCCTGGGCTCCGCACTGGCCGCTGCTGCCCAGGAGGAGGCTGAGGGGAAGAGGGCCGACGAGGAGCTACCATCATGCTGCGTCCCCGCCCGCCTGCCTGCCACACTGCCCGCTCAAGTGCAGGTGGAGACTGGCCCTAGGGGTGCTCCGGGCTGTGCCCAGCACCAGGCACTGCGGGGCTGGGGGTCCAGTGCTGACCCAGGAGCTCCAGGAAGCCAGAGTCGAGCGGCCTCACCTCCCACAGCGGAGCCCCACGTCCCCCCACCCTCTCCGTGCAGGGCCCACCTCTCTCAGGTAGGTCCGGATCCTGCTCGCACAGCTGAACCTCAGGTAGGCGCACTTGTTCCTAAACCGGACTCCAGACCTGCAGGGGAGCCAGGCAAGGCCTGCATCCATGCCGTCCTGGGCGG